GTTCAACTCTGTTCTGGAACTGCGTTTACACAACATTTCAGAGCAACGGGATATCAGGGTATTATCCTGTTACCGCTCTGTGAAACACTATTGAATAACTCATAATTCGTGCTGTAATTACGTAACTGTTACATGTAATAACAACTCTGATCACTGTTTTCTGTGGTCTTCCTCAGGTCCATGATGAGTGACTCTGTGAAGGAGCCGCCTCCAGGGGGCAGCACTGATTCAAGGTGAGTGCACTGTTCAAATGAACCTTTCATCTGAAGCAGCTGAAGACAGACACATACTTCTGCCCGTAAACCTCCGCGCTTCCCTAGAGAAGCACAAATATTCAAACTCTACAACAAACACACGTCTTAACTAAAAACAATCTCAATGTTCCTTACGTTAAAAGAGCCGAAAGAAACTTCCATTATACTAATGCGCCGCTTCAACACAATAATAACTGAATCAGTGCAGCCTTATGTCGTGATCACTTTTACCTCATTCATGGTCCGATACACCGTCCGAAAATGACTTCTGTCAATACTTTCCCATAAAGCATTGCGGCCAACAGAAGACGCCGCACCTTAATGTACATATAGTGCGCCATCTACTGGGAAACGCCGGAAATGCAGGAAAAATAAAACGTTAACAAATAAAAAAATATAACATTAGTTTGCCCACCCCCGGTGTACACACACACACACACACACACACACACACACACACACACACACACACACACACACACACACACACACACACACACACAGACACACACACACACACACACACTACACACACACACACACACACACATCACACACTATACAGACACACACACACACACACCTACACATACACACACACACACACACACGCTAAAATACGTACAATGACACATAGTAAAATGTGAGGCTGAATACAGGACTAAACCAGGACTGAACTAAAACTAAACTAGAACTAAAGTAGAACTGAACCAGGACTAAACCAGGACTTCATATTTATAAAAGGACAGAGAAAAACAAAGTGAAGGATTAAATAATTTTATTGTTTTTACTTTTTTGTTCTTCAGTTTTGATTCTTAAATTTTCTTGGTTTGGATCTGGAGACAAAAAAAACAAAAACAAAAGAAAAAAAAACCCGTGACCCATAAAAACAAAGTAAGAAAGGAAAAGAGCGTGGTGAGCCGCTGTCCCGTCGATTTGAGCTCCCGAGGCACAGATGGGATAAGTTTCTCTCCCTGGATCGTGTGTAAATATTTCTGAAATAAATGTTTGTTCTCATGTTTCTTCTGTCGTCCCTTTTTCTGTCCTCGTCCATCACGACTCAGAGACAAGTCCATTGTTTTTGGCGCTGGAGAAATAAAATTGAATTGCAGGAATCGTCCCGTCTTCAATGTCCCCAGTGTCACAAAGGTGAGGTGTCGCCCTCTAGTGGAGCATTATTTGGAACAAGATCTAGTCAAGATTTACTCCTCCAACAAACTCAAATAAAAGAACTAAACCAGGACTAAACCAGGACTGAACCAGGACTAAACCAGGACTAAACCAGGTCTAAACTAGATCTAAACCAGGACTAAAACCAACTTTAATCTAGAGCTAAACCAGGACTAAACCAGGACTAAACCAGGACTGAACCAGGACTAAACCAGGACTGAACCAGGACTAAACCAGGTCTAAAACCAGGATTAAACCAGGTCTAAATCAGGATTAAAAAAATATTTTGTGTTATTGTAGTATGTGATGTGTGAGCTACTGTTCCAAGTAATTTCCCTTGTGGATCAGTAAAGTTTGTTCAGGTCTAAAGGTCAGACCATGAAGCGTGAATTTTTCTTCAGATTTTAAACACTTTTTTTTTTTTTTTTTATGTTTTTTTCCTTAATGAGAACCACAGACCAGAGGCAGAGACCGCAGACTAATAGAGCCGCACAAAAGCTGTGTGGAAAAAAACACCTATTTTGGAATTGAACAGAAGTATCCGTATGATTTTCTGATCACGTTTAACCTTTGATAAATGATACAACAGCGCCCTCCTGTGGACGCAGACAGACATTACACTCAAAACTATTAAAGTGCAGTTTAAAGTACATTTTCAAACTGATGATTTGATTTAATCATTAAATCAAAGTGTTAAAAAAAATAAGACAATTTTATTGAATTTGTCAGTGGCAAAAATTCACAAACAGGAACTTGCTTCAGCGTTATGGTGCAAAATGAAATAATAAATGAACCATTATGAAATAAAAGGACGTGCATTAGAATAAGGTAAAAATAGGTTAAACAGACTGATTACAAATACAAAAGTACAGTATGGGCAGAACAGTGCAAAAGCATCAGTGTAAGAGGGTTAAAAACAGTCTAAAGTGACAGTGAGGAGTCAGTGAAGCATCGATATATCGTGATAATTATTGGGATACTTCAGGTCAGCAGTCGATGGACGAAGGAACAACGTTATAATGTGGTAAAGTAAAAAAAAAAAAAAATGTGCAGAATATTAATTAAAGTTGTTTAAAGGTGTAACTTTTTGGTGGAGGGCGCGTCACCTGCTTGTTTCTATGGAGACGTCATTGCTCTGTCTGGAATGTTCCACAGTGTGACATTAAACAGCTCCACTTTACATTCAATTACAAGTGATATTATGGCTCAAAAATCCCTCGAAAAACAAACATTCTGACTGTGAGCGGGATCGCCTCTCCACAGAGCTGACCTGTAACTTGGTCTGGTTTGGTCGAAGATGAAGATAGGAAGGTTTAAAGCCACACTGTGAAACATTCCAGACAAAAAAGCAATAACATCTCCATGGAGAAAAGCGCAAAAAGTGAAGTAAGAAACAGACTCAATTCTCTGTACAGATTCTACAGTGAAAATAAAATCCTCTTTACACAATCTCCTGGGCTTTTCCACATTAAATGGTAGAACTTTGTTTTCTGTTCCAATGTGCCCAAGGTACGAGGGAGTTCACCGTCCACCCACTTATCCTGATGTAAGGTCATAAAAAATAACAAATATCAAATTAAAAAATCTTACCACTTAAATGTCAAAGCAGAAATACTGGAAAAACAACCTGCACAGACTCATGAAATCTGCAGACTAAACCAGACTAAACCAGGACTAAACCAGGACTAAACCAGGACTGAACCAGGACTAAACCAGGACTAAACCAGGACTAAACCAGGACTAAACCAGGACTAAACAGGACTAAACCAGGACTAAACCAGGACTGAACCAGGACTAAACCAGGACTAAACCAGGACTGAACCAGGACTAATACAGGACTGAACCAGGACTAAACCAGGACTAAACCAGGACTAAACCAGGACTAAACCAGGACTAAACCAGGACTAAACCAGGACTGAACCAGGACTGAAACCAGGACTAACCAGGACTAAACCAGGACTAAACCAGGACTAAACCAGGACTAAACCAGGACTAAACCAGGACTGAACCAGGACTAAACCAGACTAAACCAGGACTAAACCAGGACTGAAACCAGGACTAAACCAGGACTAAACCAGGACTAAACCAGGACTGAACCAGGACTGAAAACCAGGACTAAACCAGGACTAAACCAGGACTGGAAAACCAGGACTGAAACCAGGACTAAACCAGGACTAAACCAGGACTAGGACTAAACCAGGACTGAAACCAGGACTGAACCAGGACTAAACCAGGACTAAACCAGGACTGAACCAGGACTAAACCAGGACTAAACCAGGACTAAACCAGGACTGAACCAGGACTAAACCAGGACTAAACCAGGACTAAACCAGGACTAAACCAGGACTGAACCAGGACTTCATATTTATAAAAGGACAGAGAAAAACAAAGTGAAGGATTAAATAATTTTATTGTTTTTACTTTTTTGTTCTTCAGTTTTGATTCTTAAATTTTCTTGGTTTGGATCTGGAGACAAAAAAAAAAAAAACAAAAAAAAACCTTGACCCAAAAAACAAAGTAAGAAAGGAAAAGAGCGTGGTGAGCCGCTGTCCCGTCGATTTGAGCTCCCGAGGCACAGATGGGATAAGTTTCTCTCCCTGGATCGTGTGTAAATATTTCTGAAATAAATGTTTGTTCTCATGTTTCTTCTGTCGTCCCTTTTTCTGTCCTCGTCCATCACGACTCAGAGACAAGTCCATTGTTTTTGGCGCTGGAGAAATAAAATTGAATTGCAGGAATCGTCCCGTCTTCAATGTCCCCAGTGTCACAAAGGTGAGGTGTCGCCCTCTAGTGGAGCATTATTTGGAACAAGATCTAGTCAAGATTTACTCCTCCAACAAACTCAAATAAAAGAACTAAACCAGGACTAAACCAGGACTGAACCAGGACTGAACCAGGACTAAACCAGGACTAACCAGGACTAAACCAGGACTGAACCAGGACTAAACCAGGACTAAACCAGGACTGAACCAGGACTAAACCAGGACTAAACCAGGACTAAACCAGGACTAAAACCAGGACTGAACCAGGACTAAACCAGGACTAAACCAGGACTAAACCAGGACTAAACCAGGACTAAAACCAGGACTGAACCAGGACTAAAACCAGGACTGAACCAGGACTAAACCAGGACTAAACCAGGACTAAACCAGGACTAAACCAGGACTAAAACCAGGACTGAACCAGGACTAAACCAGAACTGAATAAGGACTAAACCAGGACTAAACCGGGACTGAAACGGGACTAAACCAGGGACTGAAAGGACTGAACCAGGACAAAAAACAAGACTAAACAAGGACTAAAACCAGGACTAAACCAGGACTAAACCAGGACTAAACCAGGACTAAACCAGGACTAAACCAGGACTAAACCAGGACTAAACCAGGACTAAACCAGGACTAAACCAGGTCTAAACCAGGACTAAACGTGGTCTTTGTGCTGAGTGGTGTTTTATAGTTCAGTCTCAGTCTGGTCTCCATCAGTCCCTCTGGGTCTGTCCTCAGTCTGGACCAAAGACAAACACCAATAATAATTTGAAGTCAGAATGAGGAGAATCACAAAATGACACTGGAGACATTAAAGTTCAACAGAGAAACTAAAACTTTTTCTAAATGTCCTGTGTTTGGTGTAAGAGAAGAAACAGATGAGACAAACTCTGAGGAACACATGAACACATGAATACATGAACACATGAATACATGAATACATGAATACATGAATACATGAACACATGAATACATGAATACATGAATACATGAACACATGAATACATGAACACATGAACACATGAACACATGCTCAGCTCACAGAGAAGAGGCGTCCTCCAGGGGGCGCTGTGACCTCCTCATGTTCAACAGAGACACACAACTGTTCTTCCCCCTCAGTCCAAACCCCAAAAACAGAGGCTCAGTGAAGGAGGCTCTGAAGGTGTGGAGGTGGAACAGTCTTTCATCAGAGACCTTAAAGAAGGACAGAACTCCAGCCTCAGAGTCCAGGAACACGCCCACTGTGGAGGGGAGAGGGAGGAAAGGGGAAAATCAGGCCTTTTTGTCTCATTGTGTAAAAAAGAGTATTTTCCTCCCTCGATCCTCATGGTCCAGGACTGATCATTGTGTCCAAACTCTGCACCGTTTCCTCTTCTTCTGATTCTTCTGTAACTCACTGCTACATCAACATTCCCCCAGTACTCCACCTCCCAGTAACAGCGCCCCCTGAGGCCGGAGGAGCCCAGGACCTGACACCAGTCTGTGAATCTGTCCTCATGATCCGGAGGAGGAGGAGGAGGAAGTGGATGATATAATTCCACAGTCCGTTTGTCCTCAGACACTGTGAGGTTCTCTGTGCGCCGTGTTTGGATCCAGGGTGAGTTCACAATAATCTGAAACAAACAACAATCACAACTAAAGTTGTAAAGAGTGTGTCCTGAAAGAGAGACTGAGGTAAACCTTCACATTATTCTAATGTTTGTATCAAGAGGAAACACAGGAAACAGTTCAGAGTGTTTTTATTCTAATGTCATGATGAGTTTCATCCATTTTCCTGTGGTTTTAAACGGCTTCTGTGTAAATAAATGAGAATGAGATCATTGGATCATTTCTGTTGTAGGACGCTCGTCTTGGCTCATGTCAGGCTTCAAAATCCTCTTTGTTTAGTTCAGTTCAAACCCTCATCAGTGTTTTCAACTGTTCCAAATCCTGTTCAAAAGTTCTTGTGCACTTTTAAAATGTGTGATTTTTGTGGAGGCTGCAGCTCGTCTGGTCCCTAAATGTGTTCACAAGTTCTTTGGAATAAATAAATCCAGATGTACCCAGTGTCAGTCCTACAAGTGAAACTGGAACAATTCAAATACTCACATTTACTGAGACCTGGAACCATCCAGCGCTTTCCACAAGGATCCAACCTGGAACACACAAGTCCAGTTTAGACCAGACCAGAGACCAGACCAGAGACCAGACCAGAGACCAGACCAGACCAGACCAGAGACCAGACCAGAGACCAGACCAGACCAGACCAGACCAGACCAGAGACCAGACCAGACCAGACCAGAGAGACCAGACCAGACCAGAGAGACCAGAGACCAGACCAGACCAGACCAGACCAGACCAGAGACCAGACCAGAGACCAGACCAGACCAGACCAGACCAGAGACCAGAGACCAGACCAGACCAGAGACCAGAGACCAGAGACCAGAGACCAGAGACCAGACCAGACCAGACCAGAGACCAGACCAGAGACCAGACCAGACCAGAGACCAGACCAGACCAGAGACCAGAGACCAGAGACCAGAGACCAGACCAGACCAGACCAGACCAGACCAGAGACCAGACCAGAGACCAGACCAGAGACCAGACCAGAGACCAGACCAGACCAGAGACCAGAGACCAGACCAGAGACCAGACCAGAGACCAGAGACCAGAGACCAGAGACCAGACCAGAGACCAGAGACCAGACCAGACCAGAGACCAGACCAGAGACCAGAGACCAGAGACCAGAGACCAGAGAGACCAGAGACCAGACCAGACCAGACCAGACCAGACCAGACCAGACCAGACCAGAGACCAGACCAGACCAGAGACCAGACCAGAGACCAGAGACCAGACCAGAGACCAGACCAGACCAGACCAGAGACCAGACCAGAGACCAGACCAGAGACCAGAGACCAGACCAGACCAGACCAGAGACCAGACCAGAGACCAGACCAGAGACCAGAGACCAGACCAGAGACCAGACCAGACCAGACCAGAGACCAGAGACCAGAGACCAGAGACCAGACCAGACCAGACCAGAGACCAGACCAGACCAGACCAGACCAGACCAGAGACCAGACCAGAGACCAGACCAGAGACCAGACCAGAGACCAGAGACCAGACCAGAGACCAGAGACCAGACCAGACCAGAGACCAGACCAGAGACCAGACCAGACCAGACCAGACCAGACCAGACCAGAGACCAGAGACCAGAGACCAGACCAGACCAGACCAGAGACCAGACCAGAGACCAGAGACCAGACCAGAGACCAGAGACCAGAGACCAGACCAGACCAGACCAGACCAGACCAGAGACCAGACCAGAGACCAGACCAGAGACCAGACCAGAGACCAGACCAGACCAGAGACCAGAGACCAGAGACCAGACCAGACCAGAGACCAGACCAGACCAGAGACCAGAGACCAGAGACCAGAGACCAGACCAGACCAGACCAGACCAGACCAGAGACCAGAGACCAGACCAGACCAGACCAGACCAGAGACCAGACCAGACCAGAGACCAGAGACCAGACCAGAGACCAGAGACCAGGAAACCCAGACTTAGAGGTGGCAGGGGGTGGTTCTCACCTGACAGTCAGCAGGGGGCGCTGGTCCTGTAGAGCGGTCAGGAGATCTGCTGAGGATCCTGGATGGTTGTAGCTCAGGTCTAACTCTCTCAGGTGGGAGGAGGCGGAGCTCAGAGCTGAGGCCAGAGCAGCCCCGCCCCTCTCTGAGACCAGACATCCAGACAGACTAAAGACACAGCAGTACACTCATGTGAACACAAGGGGGAGCACTACACTCATGTGAACACAAGGGGGAGCACTACACTCATGTCAACACAAGGGGGAGCACTACACTCATGTGAACACAAGGGGGAGCACTACACTCATGTGAACACAAGGGGGAGCACTACACTCATGTGAACACAAGGGGGAGCACTACACTCATGTGAACACAAGGGGGAGCACTACACTCCCTGTGCTTTAACACTTTTGTGAATCAAGGCTGCGTCTCATTTTTC